AACGTACCAGCATCAAGTACCTGCGACTTTCAATGGGCGCAATACATTCATCACGAGGGAAATCCGAAGGGACTTGGAAGAAAGAAGTAAAGCCAGGTGACAAATTTATGGTGGATCCCAAGGGTACGGATCTTGTCATCGCGTATGTACCATCCTTCCATTACATTCAAATGAGATTATAATATTTTGCAGAATCATGGGTGCTACTGGGTCAGGAAAGAGCACGGTATGTCTTCCATTCATACCCTAGGCTAAGAGTCATCACTTTGAATTGATAATGTACCCAGTTCATCAATACCCTCTTGGGTAAAACCGTAGCGGTCGCTGGTCATAGCCTCAAGTCTCAGACCGTCCAGGTCCAAGCGTATCTGCTGCAGTACCCCCAACCCTCAGGAACTCGCATCGTGATTGTAGATACACCAGGCTTCGACGATACGGCGGTCAGCGATCGGGAAATACTGCGGCGTATTGCTATTTGGCTCGCGCGATCGTAAATACCCCAGCGACATCTTTCTGTTATGTAGCTCACGCTCACCACCGTAATTCAGATACGAGGCCAATATGAAACTCGCCGGAATCATTTATCTTTACGACATCAGCCACACTAGATGGGAGCGTTCATCTGGTAGGAGTTTTAATCTTTTTGAGAAGCTGTGTGGGGAAGCAGCGACCAAGAAGATCGTCCTTGCTACAACGATGTGGGACAAAGTGACTCCGGAGGATGGAGACAGACGTGAGCAAGAGCTGAGAAGTGATATCTGGAAGGACATGGTTGAGCGTGGATCCACTATACATCGTGTCAGTTCGCCAGGTTCAGGTCGTGCCATTATCGACTTTCTTCTTGCAAAGAACGACTTCCGACCCATCAAGATACAACGTGAAATGGTGGATAGCAACAAAGGTATCGCGGAAACTAAAGCAGGCCGAACTCGTTCCGATACATTTCGAGAGCCACCAGTCGAGGCAATGATTTGACTGAAATATTTGATTGTGAGTCGGATTGGCGTTTTGAAGGAGAAGAGCTGAGCTGATATCTGATTATTGCTTCAAAGATCTCCAGGACATGGAGACTGCGTTGGATTGATATTAGACTTAACATTGGCCCACTAGACGAAGCAGTATTATGATGGAAGAAAGCCATGACGCTGATTTTTCGCATCTATTTCTCTGTCAGCCCTGAGGAGATTAAAAACCAAGTCCCACTTGCCTCGTTGTTCCGAAGAACTGCGTGGAGCCACGAGTATGAAACTTGTTTCAATGGAGGCTCTTGAGATCGTTTCTTAGTCGAAGCCCCCGCGACACACATTCTGATTTGGTATGGCCTGCGAAAAGGGTCAAGTCAAAGTCAAGTTCACGTCCATGCCGGCATTCCGTGTGGAGAAAGAGAACGGATGGCTATACAGTCAAGAAATATATGAGTCCCGGAGTCAACTGTGACGCTGTCAGCAGACTATTGCAGTTGCACCGTGCGCTGGGTGATGATCGAAACGTCCTTTGCCGGACATTGAATCAAACGCGTCTCGATGTGGAATCGCCACCACGACCTATGCGTATGGCCAATACGGACTTCTCTCATACAAAAGGGTTTGCCAGCTCCCTCTTCAGGCTCCAATCTTCAAGTTTGAAACCGTCAACTTGAAATGAGGCTCACAGAGAATACCAGAGGTTCAGAGCAGCCAAATGCTTTGAGAAACCCCAGTCCAACGGACCTCGTTGTCGCGTATATCGCTCTCTGTCCCTCCGCGTAGCTTCATCGTACTAATCATTTGAATTTGGCAGAATCATCGGCTTGACGGGTTCTGGGAAAAGCACGGTTTGTCGAAGTTTCTCATAAGCTCAAATAAACTCACCTCGTTAACTCAGTTCATCAATTCTTGCGTAGGTGAATATGTTGCATCTGTTGGGCACACCATGGCATCCCACACATCGAGTGTGCATCCCTACTACTTACTCGACGAAAGGGTTCCTGGCCGCCGAATTGTGCTACTAGACACACCAGGTTTCGATGGAACATTTCTCGATGACCAAGAGGTTTACGATCAAATCACTTCCTGGATGGCTCGATTGTGAATGATTTTTTGTTGGATCCGTCCACCATTTTGTACTTACCAATCAATCAGTTATGGCCATGAAATGAAGGCCGCTGGCATCGTTCATGTCGTCGATATCAGGCGCAATCGAGCTCCAACGACAGGGTCATTCAACAAACTCTGTAAACAGCTATGTGGAAGGGATTGGATGAGGAAAGTGGTACTTGCCACCACGATGTGGTCCGATCTTTCTGGAGAGATGGGAAATGCATTCGAGAGCGCTTTGAAAGGGGACTATTGGAACGAGATGCTCGAAAATGAGTCCCGCATGTTTCGTTTCGACGAAACGCAGAGCTCAGCTCGGGAAATTTTGTTTTCTATCCTCGAAGCAGCTCACCTAGAACCACATCCGAACACTCTCGAGGGAACTCGCATCGAGCCGCATCCTAACACTCCCGTGAGGCAAGGATCTGCCGCCTCCACGGATCGCCTTTTTCGCAAGATTTCGACATTATTTTGTTTGTAAGTCTGTGGTCGCCACTCACTCGAAACAGAAGATTCATTATCATTCTAGTGGCTTCGAAGATTAGAAATACCCGCAAGACTTCCAAAAAGGCCTCCCCTTTATTTATTACATCGCACGATGCATAATTACTAGATCCGTCGTCGACATTGACTGCTCACTTTATCGGATGCTGGACACCTCATAATCACGAATGTATTCACCTTTGAAGGCGGTCGTCACAGGCTGACTTAGGCCGGCCTTTCTAGAAGCACCTCCACTCCCCTCACTGCTGAGTTTGGTCCAAGCATACTTTATGAATGACATCCTTGCCGGAGGAAAAATAAATTCGGGCGCAGCTGCTGATCCTTGTCCTCCTTCAGCCTCTCATTACATCGCTATAACGGAAGGAACTTTGATTCATAAGGAGAGGTTTCGAGCATGTGAATGTGAAGCTAACACGATTCAGCTGACTTGGAAACGAAACTCACGGATGCAGGCAGTTGATCCGATCGGCACAACTCGTACCCTGAAAATTTATCGAAAAAGATACAGATATGAAGATCCATAGCCCACCGGGAGGGTCGAACTCCCAGCCTTCAGATGCCCTGCCTAAGAGTCTGACGCTCTATCCGATTGAGCTAGGCGGGCAGACATGGAGGTAAGGAGCAATATCGATGTGGCGTGGCGCCACACATCCCGCCTGCCGAAAAAGTTATTGCACTGATGGAATATTATTCTGTAGCCCACCGCGAGGGTCGAACTCGCAGCCTTCAGATGTACTCGTGGAAGTTCGAACCTTCGTAAAAGTCTGACGCTCTGGCCAATTGAGCTAGGCGGGCCACGAGAGTACATGGGAGACACACCCATATATAGGCATATAGGCCAAAGAAACCCTGACGCAGACCAGCCCTGCCTTATCCTTCTCAAAGAACAGAAATAACTCAGTAGTCGGCCTCAAGGGTGCACAAGCACGGTTAATTATTAAGGCATGTGTTAACCAGCAACCTCTTGGAAAGATTGAACAATCCCCATCCCTGACTGAGTGGAAAAAGACTCAAGTATAGCCTCGTTTATCGTCCACTGAAGAATTCGGAGCCAATAATTCGTGCTTGCGATCTTCTACATACCGTATAATGATGGATGTACTTCGCCGCAGAAAATGTCTAAAATACCACCACCTTGAGAATAGGCGATGCTGTATTACGCGTTGGAAGATCATAACACAGGTGTACATACACATGTTGACACATATAGCAGATAACGATCGTACATGGTACAAAATAGTATAACAAGACAGAGCTGTTGCATCATGAACGAATGATTATCAGAATAGACTTTACAACAAGCGGTGATTGTTTTTCCTACAATTCAGCGTTGCATGTATGTCCGGACAAACTTGGAACCCGACGTCAAGGTTAAGGTGTGGATGAGGCAACCCGATCTTGAGGCAACCAGAGATTGATATGACAAAAGCTGATCTGCCTCTTTGATCAGTAATTTTACCTCTCTCAACAACACAGATTCCGACCCACATGCGCTATCAAGTTTTGATGAGACGCACCACGGCACACGAGGTTGCCGCAACAGGTCTGACTGGCGCAGAGCGAGCCGAGCTGCAGGATCTCTCGACCTCACTGCACGCGTCGAGTGCGACAGCAGACACTTCAGCGGCGAAGGGGAGGGTAGAGATGATGATGACACGAATGAACTTCAGGAACGGTAGGTGCTCTAAGGAAAAGCACTTGGTATGACGTACTCTTATAGCTCTCGTTCCACTCCGATTCGGGGATGGATTCTACCCATATATTCCTGTTGAAATGTTGACGGAAGTGAACTGTCGGAAGGTCTTGAATCCGGGCACGACACTGCGTGCACATGCGACCATTGAAAGTTTTTTTCATCCAAAGGGCACAATTCGAGGTCCACTATTTATTAGAAAAAGGAGAGCGGTGCGGCTTGTAAGAGTTGAGAGTAAGGTGAGGGGAGCCTAGGAGATATGTCGAAGAGCACCGAACCCCAGCCCAATAATGCGAGCGGAGTTGGACTCATTTCGCTGCAGAAAGTCTTGGAATCCGACGAGGTCACAAACGCAACAGTTCCACAGGAGAATGCCCGAACTGTCAACTCGAACTTCCCAAACATCGCACGAACGCCGGAAGCGTACTGCAGGAATTCTTGAATTTGACACTGTAACAAGGGTGGTACTGGTGTGCGCGACCGAGCAGTAAAAAGTTCAGGAGGAGGGCCACGTAAATCGAAGCAATATACATATTTGTTGGAGGGCGCACTTTATGCAGCGTGTCGCGATATTACACAACTATAAGAGTGGGAGCAACTAAGGCGAGGGAGCCTTGTCAGTTGGCTGCGTCGAAGAGCACCCCCCCCCCAAGCCAACAATGCAGCGGAGCTCACCTTATTTTGCTGGAAAAACCTTGGATCCGACGAAGGTCACAACTGCGACAGTGTGTGCACATAATACATTGTCAATAGAATCCCCGAGCATCGCACGAACAGCCCCGAATGAAATGAGTCTCTTCTAGACAGACAGATTAGTCGTCCCTCCTTGCTGAACTAGAATTGAAGCTCGATATTCTAGAAGAAAAATGTTAAAGTTACGCAGCGCATCCAGTTTTCCAAGATATAGCTACGTAGCTGAGGATTCTTCAAGGGAGAGAGAAGAGCCCCCAATCATAACAAGCGCCAATATTGCTGCGGACTTCCGCCACCGCCAGCAAGATTGAACGAAGACCCCCGAAACTCTAATCGAATTGCTTTCCTGTTGTGCTGGCTAAAAAAGATGTCGCAGCAGCTGCAATACCACCACACTCAGCAACAGTACGTCCACTATGCAGGCCCACCGGGAACACACCATCCCTCCCAAATTATCAATGGCAATACTGGCATCGCACCTCAGGACACTACACACCACCCACAGCCCACGCAGCATCTGCAGCAACAACAACAGCACGCAGGCACATCGACACCAACACCGCTTGTCGCGACCGGCGATTGGACTAAGGATTTGGTTCATCTAGCCAAAACTGCTGAGCTCAAGTTCGTGCTTAATCGGATAACTTTTACGTTTTCTTCGTCGCAGACAGCTGACATATCAACAGGAAACATGCATTGACACTTCAACTCCATACCGCACACATTCTCTCGGCACACGCATCGCTACAAGAAAAGAGCAAAGTCATCCAGGATATTCGCGAACAGAGGAACAAGTAGGGGTACTTTGTTTCCCACGAATTTCCACTAAGGTAAATCATCTGCAGGCTGGAAAGCGAAAGGATAAAGCTTTTGAATGCACTAAGAGAGGTTCGTTATTATTAGCCTCTAATCGTCAAATCATATTAACCCGCGAACGCCAGATAAACGAAGATCGTGATAAGGCAGGTCTTCTATTCAACTCCACATCCCCAAATTCTCACCTTGCAGTTTTCTAAAGGCTGATCTGTTGGAATCAACCATAGAACGAGAGTCGGTCACGTCGCTTATTGACTTGTCTCTCGTAACATTCTGATGTTATTCTTAGATCCACTGACCTTCGTAACAAGCTGAACATCCTCACTGAAGGCGAGTACGCCATGGCAAAAAATGACGTTGACAGGCTGCGCCAGGAGCTCGGCCAGGCCCCCCTCCCGACCTTGCAGAGCACGCTGGACGAGAAAACAAACCAGTGAGCCTTTATCCCTTCCTCTCGAACCAAAGCTACCCTGGATTTCATCTGGTCCCCTGTGCCTTATGATTGACTTTCTTGCACCATCCGTAAACCATTCTGCTCGAGGATAATATTTTACCTTTCACTTCCTCGGTTCCGGCATCGCATTAATCACCGGGGCTTTTGTCGCATTTCGTGTGCAAAACAGTCCATACCCACGCATGGCGTTTCTCGCCTTTCCTGTGGCGTTGACACGACACCCGGCGCTTTCTGATCTCTTGCCCATTCTTTCTCCTTTTCTCCGACGTGCGTTCCCACTCCAGGACGGAGAGCGTATCTTTAGCTACACGTCTTGCTCATGTCGTTCGCTTCGCATATATCTCTTCCAAACTCTCCCTTTTCCGATTCCCCACCTGTGAATGCGTATGATCACTGACTATTTTACTCCTCATCAACCAGATACCTAAACGAACGTCGGCTCACCGGGAACGAGTCGCAGCAAAACTCGAGCAGTGCGTCCACAGCAGGAGCGGGGGCAAAGCGCTCCTCCGCCGATTCCCCAAGTGCAGATTCGCATGTACCTAGCAGCAAGCGACCTCGTGGGCGGCCCAAGGGAAGCAAGAACCGCAACAAGGAGGCCGGCGGTGCGGCTGCTGGAAGTAGTGGCGGTGCTATGTAGTTGGTGCACAATCTCCTCGCTTCCGCGTTCGGGGTGGTGGTTCTTCACGATTTAGAAGCCGGGGTGTGTGTTTTGTGGTTTTTGTGCGAGCGATTAGAACGCCGGAGGGCACTTGGACTCTTGGGTGTGTGTGGATTTTCGTGCGATTAGAACGCCGGAGGTGGAGTGCGAAGCAGGTGGTGGGATTAGGACGCCGGAAGAGAGTAGGGTGTGGTTCTGCCAGTGTTTGTCACCGACGCTCGTTTGGGAGTTGGGGAGAGAACATAGTTCCGGTCCGATGGGCTCGCGCGCGACAGGTTGCGGAAAGAACTGGCCTTGTCCAGTGCGATATTATCCCTGCAAAATTTATTCGCTGCGTCTATCACTCGGGGCCACCAGGATCACGACGATACAGCTCAGGACCCAGGAGGGGGCGTGTTGTGTGCGGATCTGGATGTCAAGAATCAGGAGGGGACGCACGGATGTCTAGACTTGGTCGGTGGGCGTAGGACGTGCTGTCATCGACGCGTGCCGGGTGTCGTACTCGCGTTCAGGAATTTCGGGCTTCACCTTCCGGCGATCATTACTTCTCTCGGTGGTTCTTGTGGAAGCGGTTTCTCACCTATGCGGTGTAGGCTCCCTAGCTAGGCGTTTTTCATTTTCGATTTACGGCAGACAAAATCATAGTCAGCGTCTTCTGCCCTTCTTTCATGCGATGGCCGCGGACTACTGGATCCTACACTACAACATGTCCGTCGATCAACCCACTCACTCACTCATCGAGTCATAGTTCATCCCTCTCGTATTGCTCTCGTACGTACGATATACTGTTTCATTCTTACCCTCGTGTCGAGATTTACCATTCAGTCATATTTAATCCTCGTGATGCCCTTTACATCAGAGCTACACCCTCTTTCGCCGACGTCCGTTCTGTTTTTAACTCCATTTCGGAGTTCTGCTCCAAGTCTCTGATAATCTACTTCTTGTTGTTATCGAGCCGCCGAACTCCCACCCTCCATCCCCACCAATTCAATTACAAGTCATCAAGGACGGTATCATCTCGTATCACAATCAGCATGAGGTCTTGTCTATGTCCTACGTTGAGTAATAGGCACTAGCCGCTACCTCACCGCAGCTCATCGTCTTGTTTTTTGTTCTTCGGTTCAGTTGATCAGAATACGCCTACACTCATATATGTCTGGCGCCTGCGAAATGCACCTACCTACCCTATCATCATTACAGTACCCTTTCCTCCGCCCCCTTTGTTTTCTTCTCTTTTGTTCCTATAAGAGGTGTTAAGAACACTTCTAACTGTCGATCAGCGGCGCATACACAATTTTCAATCTATCTGAACCCTTCCTTGTCCTTTCTTTTTTTATTCCGCTCGACGTTCCATGACAGTGTTCCATCAGAATCAGTATCACTTGGATGGATTACATGTATGTGGGGTGCCAGCCAATCTTCAAGCTCAGTCAGGGAAGTGTATGTACAAACATACATCATGCAATTGGACTTTGAAC